TGAACTTATGCATTCACACAGGCAGCAGCTTCCTGCCAGCATTCCTTCCTGGCTTTGGCCGCTGCAACAGTGCTGCTTTTTGCTCCTATGAGGTTTTTATATTATTCTTCAGATTTTGTAAAGATTATATTCTCCTCCTCAGCAGTAAAGTGAACCGCTCTGCAGCCAGACTTGTCCATAGTCGTGACTGGTCAGATGCTGATAACGCCCCTCATTTTATGTGCACGTGCTCATACTCAAATCAGACAACCCTGGGTTGACTTACCGAGTTGATAACCATCATTGTAGGACCGGTTATCCTGAGTGCGATTGTTAGGGTTAATCAAGCCGGATCTCTAAAAGACATCCTCGGTATGTTGTTACAGGCCCCAGGTGTGTGTGGAGTTTGTTCATTGGTGGTGGAGTCAGAGCCACTCCCTATTTAAGACAGCTTCTGACTTTGTGTCACTTTTTTCCTGTTGAAGGCCAAATGACCGAAACGTTGCATTAATACATTCATGAGTGCAACGTTTGTGGTTCTTTCGCACAACATTTTGGTTTTTGCAATGATTTTTTGGTTGTTTACAACTTTTGTGGTTGCTTTGAGTCACATTTTGGTCATTTTGCAACATTTCGTAGTTTTGATTCACATGTTTGTTGTTTAATAATTTCATGCAGCTGTCTTGTCTCATGTTAGTCATTTTGCAACTTTCTGTGATTTTCTTGCATAACATTTAGTTTATTGCTCTTTTTTGTTGTATTGCAATTTTGGGGGTACGTTTTGCAGCACATTTTGGTTGCTCTGCAATCTTTGTGCTTTTGCATCACATTTTGCAACTTTTGTGCTTGCTTTGAGTCACATTTTGGTAATTTTATATCTTTTTGTGGTTGTCTCGTATCACGTTTTGTTTGGTTTGCAATTCATTTTGGTAATTTTTCACCACACTTTGCATACTTTCATGATGAAACTGATCTGTGAAATGTTTCTGAGCAGAATTCAAACCACTTCCAGACAACGTAGTTCAAAAAGGTACAATTTTAATCAGTGAGTAAATCACTCAGCACACTTCATGTGAAAACTTGAACTAAATTAATGAGAAACAAAACATCCAGAAGAAAAGTGTTTCCAGAACTGACAGTGTTAATCAAAAATATCTTCACCTAGTTAGAAACATATGTACAGATTTTAATCCAGAAACAAAAATGTGAGGAACAGAGTCAAAAGCAAAGATCAGCTGTAATTTTAATCAAAATAACACAGGTTAATTTTTCCAACATCCAAACCACTGCTGTTCAGTCTGATCTGAAAAACTTTTGTTTGCAGTTTATTTTGCTTCATGAGGCTGAATGTTGGTCAAACTGAAGCTGCAGCAACAATTCAGACAAAGCCGACATTTTAATCCTGGTTCTTTTTTCTTCCCACAAGTTTTTTTCTTAGTTTTTCATGAATCAGTTAAAGGTATAAAAGAAATACTTTGTCTACTTGTTTTAAAAGGTAATTTGCTACTTTATCAAATCCTTGCGTTGGACTCAACACGTGTTAAACAAAGTTCATGATGAATACTGCAGAGCTAAAGTGAAAAGCTCGACACGAGTCACACAAATAAAAAAAAAACATCAACAGCTGAAAACAAACATGATATGAAAGCAGGGAAGTTCTGCAGCAACTTCGCTCTTCAGGTCTTCATGTGATGAGCTGTAAGGAAACATTCAAGGATCAAATAAAAAGTCACATCAAAGACTAAAAGCGGATAACCTTCAATAACGGTTTTATGAGTCAACAAGGAGAAAATCTGTGGCTCTATCTTTTACATATTCATAACTATGTTTACAGTCCAAGTCGAAAAAATAAAAAATAAATAAATCAAATAAGTCACACCGGAAGACTGAAACCAGAATGGTTCCTGCTTTTGCTTGTAAAGTGACTTAAATAACCAACAAAACTACCTTTCTGTCGATCAACTCCACAAAGAAGCATTCAGCTCCTGTTGTAAGCTCATACTTCTCCAGTTCCCAGTTTGGGATTTTAGATAAAATTCATGTGAAACTTTATGAAGTTCATTTGATCCTGTTCCAAAGACCTTATGTAGTTCTGAGTTTTTAAAGTTTGGCCTCATCAGTCGTTTGTTTTCGACTGGATTGGATTGAAATTTGTGCTGACTATTCACTGAATGTTTTACACTAATCACATTAATGCTTATAATTTTCTACCTGAATGAAGAATCTTTCATTTTCAAAAAGTAATCTTAGTAAGTAAGTAGTCTTCCTTAGTTTTAATACAATTCTATCAGATCTAGATGTTACTGGTTCCGGCATAATAAACGGACCGATACAGATTTTGTTTAAATGAAGCTTGAAAGCAGAAGAAGCACTTCAAGGTTTTTTGACTGTTGACTTTCCAAAGATCATTTTAAACTCCTCCACACGTTTTTATTGGAAATGTGTTAATGGCAGATACAGTGCCTATAAAACCCTTTTATTGCTATTTATGGTCAATTTTATTCTGCTTTTTAGACGAGAATTTACTTAGTTGCCATCTGGGAGCAAAGACACTGTTGTTGTTGGTAGGTTGGTTCCAAATCCAACGAGAGGCAGGAAATGGAATCCAGGAGATGCAATACAGAAGACAGAGTCAGTTCTTAGGCGCTTAGAGATTGTAGGGAATCTGCAGCAGGACAGCGGAGGTTTGGGGCTTAGTTCAGGCATTCTAATGAGGAACAATGCAGGCTGGAAAAGAAAGAAGGAAGTGGTAGCAGAGCATATATATCTGCAAGAGGAAGTTGTTAGGTTTACGATCAGGTCAAGCAGGGACAGTAGTTAAATTGGAATGTAGAAGCTGAAGGGAGCTGTGGTGCATGGTGGATAACCATGTAAAATTCCCGTTAGAGGCAACTTATGATGCACTACCATCACCCCAAAACCTGAGACTTTCAGGGGGGGGGTCAAAAAAAAAAGGGGTGCCAGTGGTTGGGAGATGTAGGCAGATTTGAGAGGAAAACTTGTCGTGCCACAAGGGATAGTTTGCATAAACCTGAGGCCCGAAATAACACTATTGTTGATCAGTCAGCGGAATGTTTATTACATTGTACTGACAGTGCCCTGGGAGGAGGCGTATGAAAGGAAAAAGCTTAGATACACAGAGCTGGTTGCAGAAACACAACAGCGAGGTTAGAAAGTTAGGGTTTTTCCAGTATTAGTAGAATGTAGACAGTTGCATTAGCATGTAGGACTGCTAGGAGTGCAAGACGGTTAAAGAAACATCCGAGCAGTTAAGACAAGTCAGTGGATCTGGATGAGGGGAAGTAATGTTAGTTAAAGGCCAAAACCAAAAAGAACAAGCTAAACCCTTTATGAGGAAGTGGAAGTAAAACTGATCACGTGAACATTTTTCTAGAGCCGGTTGTCCTCGAAAACTGAGTGACGGAGCAAGAAAGAGACTAGTGAGGAAGGTCTGAAGGAGTTACAATCTTCAGCTGCTGAATGGGAGAGACTGTTCACACAACAATTGTTTGCTGTTTTTCAACACTCAAAAGCTTTTTTTTAAAGTGGCAACGAAAAGGCCGCTGTTGAAAAAAGCTCTTTAAATCTGGACTAGAGTTTGTCAGAAGACGTGTGAGACTCTGAAGTCAACTGAAAGAAGGGTTTTGTCCATCTGAAGAGACACCATGTCTGGCAAACACCAAACATTGCACATCATCACAAACACCCCAATCCAACTGTGAAGCATGGAGGTGGCAGCATCATGATGCGGAGATGCTTCTCAACAGCAGGCCCTGGAAGGCTTGTGAAGGTTGAAGGTAAAATGAATGCAGCAAAGTATAGAGAAATCCTGGAGGATGATCAGATGTAATCTGTAAGAGAACTGCCACTTTGGAGATCTGTCTTCCATTAAGACACTGAGGTGAAGCAAACAACCAAAGAAACACAGACACTGTTTAAAGACAACAAAGGGAAAGCTGAGTCAGAGCCCAGACTTGAATCCCACTGAGAATTTGTGGCGAGACTTGCTTTAGATGTGGTGACTGAGACCTTTCTACACAGGCTCAGTGTTGTAACTGCAGCCAAAGGTGCATCTAGGAGTTGAATACTTATGCACTAACTTATTTTATATTTTATGTTTTAAACTATTTGACAGTATTTTGTAGAAATCTGTTTTCACTGACATGAAAGAGTCGTTTTTTTGGGTAAATTATTGGAAAAAACGCCAAATTAAGAAGAAATTTTCAAAGAGGAGTTAATGCTTTTAATATTAGGTGCAGTAAATATCTGTGCTTTTTATGTTTCTTCTTCTGCTCTTGCCTTTACACTCAGTAGGTGTGTCCCAGTGTAGCCTTCCTGTGTTTCTTCCTGTGGCCCAGATTATCAAATGCCATTTCATGCCTTATCTCACCCACACAGCCACCATCTTTCCAGCACTCTCTCCACCCAGAGATTTGATTCCCAAGGCATCCCAGCCCTTTCCTCCAACCAGGTAGCATCACTGAGCTACCAACTCCAGCTGAATGTTCGCTTAGAGCACCAGCTGTTCTCCAGCAGTTATACTGTGATTGTTGGGAATGTGTTTACTCACACAACATATTGTGAGCAAGAAGCTGAGGCTTCTCTGCTTGGATTAATAGACTAAACACCATTTCAGTTTTACTATGAACATGGCACACTTTGTAGAGTCTGTTCTTACCGACAGGAGTGTAATGTCACTAGGTCTGTCAAATGCTTCTACTTTTGTTTCTTGGCAGCACAAGCTGTAGATCTCAGTGTCCGAATGAAACCCTGCTGAAATGTCAACACCCTTAGGTGGCTCTGACTTTTCCTTTCCTTTTCCCTCACCATCAGCTTCACATTTGCAATATTTCCACAGTGGTTTGATGTACTGATAAAATTCAATTCAGGCAAAACTGTAACGAGACAAAATCAGTGTATTTTGTGGATGGCAATAGATTTTTTCGATGTACGCTAGAATTGCATCAATTATTCAGTTAGTTAACAACTATTAAATTGATAACCAACTATTATGATAAAGAGTCAGTTTGAGTATGAAAAACAAAATAAAAACATTAAAAAATTCTGTGACTGCAGCTTCTTAAATGTGAATATTTTCTGGTTTCTTTCCTCCTCTATGACAGTAAACTGAATGTTACAACAAGACAAGACATTAGAGTCTGATCCACATTTTCTGAAATTGTAGATACCAAACAGCTGATCTATTCATCCAGAAAATAACAGAGAATGAAAATAATCACTAGTTGCAGCACTGATGCATTCTTTTCTTAGTGAGGCAACAAACATGTTCACCAAGTTCCTGTTCTATCAGTCAGTCACTGCAGATCAGGTCAGCTGCGGGTCAGTTTTGTTTATGTAAAAACAGAAGCGTCCTACTGCAGACATGCAAGAGCTGTGTGCACAACTGGTTTTCACTGCATCAATCTGCCAGTTACTTACTAAATTAATAGACTGAATTAAATCATTTTCTGAATTAACACATGAACATCCCCCTCAGGTCAAAAATGTTTTCCAAAAAGAGGTTACAGGCAAACCCTAGCCCAATATTCTACCCACAAACTTGCAGTGCACAAACACTGAGGCTTTAAAGTGACGCAGGACATGTTTTATGTCTAGAAATTAAATTTGCAGGATGAGTAATATTAACATTTTCCTCTGTTCAGGAATTATTAATGAGGGAGAGAAATAATGTGCCACTTTTAGTAAGAAACTCCTGTCAGAAAAACACATTTATTAGTGATGTTTCTTCAAGTTAGACAGTGTGCAGGTGTCTTTGAAATAAATTTTAAAAAGTCCAGAAAATGTCTGCATGAACTTTCCGTTTCTCTTTGAGCCAATGGCCTGAAATAATCTTGCAGTCATGTTTGGAGACACAGTGTCCTGTAAACAAACTCTAACATCCTTCCTGATTTTGTGTAACAAACTCTATCTCCATCTGCTGCACAGAAACAGCAACTACATCTTCTGCCACTGTTGATTCAGTTTTGTTTTATATGACGGTCCCATACATCCTTAGATTTTTCAGTACAACATATCTGCATCAATCTGAGTTTTTGTTACCATTTTCTACAGCTTCCTTCACCAGCTACAAATAATTTATCACAAACCAGAAAAAAGAGGATGCAGTGTTGTGTTACTCACAGATTTGACTGTCTGTTTGATGTAGTCCTTCTTGCTGGTCAGGTCGTGGTCAGGGTACGTGTCAAACACCTGAAACACAGGAGTAAAGCTGTTTTGTGAGACCAAAGGAATTAGTTTGTTCACAGACATTGGCTGTAGGATGACGAAGCGTCTCACCCTCTGGCAGATCTGCTTCATGGTCATCTCCTCCAGGTTGGCCTCCTTCAGGAGACTCTGCACCGTCTCCTTCAGCTGCTCGTCACTCGGAGCTTTTTTAATCATCTTGATTAGCGGCTCGTCGTCGTCCGAACTGTCCTCCGCTGCACAGACAAACACGCCAGGGAGAATTAAGATGAGAAGAAAAACACTCTGCAGACAGTCAAAGTGATCATCAGTCTGTGGAGATGTTCCTAAACTAACTAACATGCACACATCAGCAAGCACTTTATTAGAAACACTACTTCTGTCATGTGGAGCTACAGGTCAGCTGCAAAGTTCATATCAAACATCAGAATAAAGCTGCAACCAACTGACGAGTCTGAGGATTATTTCAAATGTCAGAAAATCGTGAGAAATCCGGATCAGCGTTTCCTCAAATGTCTAGTGTTGTCCAAAGATATTCAGTTTACTGGCACAGAGGAGGAAAGAAACTAGAAAATATTCACATTTAAGAAGCTGCAGTCACAGAAATCTGACAGTTTTGCATATTGTTACAAAAACTGATAAATCGGTTAATGAAATAGTTGCCAATTAATTTAACACTTGATAACTAATCGACCAATCACAACTATTTTCAGTACCAAGCGGAATCATTAGGATGCGGTTTCTTTTATGTCAGTTTTTTTAAAAAAAATGTAATGTAACATTTACTTTGGTAATTAAATGCAACAATCATTTTTAAAGCAAAAAGCATGAAAAAAAGCCAAATATTTGCAGATTTCAGAACCTTGTAAGAGAAGATTTGATGCTTTTCTTGAACTATTTTATTGTAAACTGAATGCTAGCAGTTTTTTTTTTTTTTTTTTTAAACTGTTGTTCGATCATGAAGTTGCCATGTTCTGCTCAGCAGGTTTCGTTGTCATTTTATTGTCTGATTAATCAATAAAAAAAACAAAAAGAACTGTTAATTGCAGTAAAAGGCAGTCAGTACAAAGGCTGAAACTAATGATTTTTACTGTGGATTATTTTCAGGATGAATCAATCAGTTGTTTGGTCTTCAAAATGTCAGAAAACAGTGAAAAATGTGGATCAAATGTCTTGTTTAGTCCAAAGATATTCAGATTACTGTCATAGAGGAGGAAAAAAGCAGAAAATATTCACATTTAAGAAGTTGCGGTCATAGAATTTAATTTAAAAATTACTCACACTGATTAATCAATTATCAAAATAGCTGGTGATTAGTGCAATAGCTGATTGGTTACTGCAGCTCTTCTACAAACTGAGCACAGGCTGAATTATTCCCTTTGTGAAAATGTGTTTTTTAACAGACACTAAATTTTACAGACGTTTCCTGAACGCCTCACACCCTTTTTTATTACCAGTCTTCCTAAAGACGATTCTCTGCCGCTCTTTCTGAACTTTTATTTTGCTAACATGCGCCACAGTTGGCACTAAATAAACCTGTGACTGAATAAACCACATCACTGAACTAAAAAGTGTGGTCAGTGTTAGGCTGGTTAGAGCGTTCTCACCTGTGTTTGTGTTGTTCTTGCTGTTGCTGCTGCTGTCGGCCTTCTTTGTTTTGGCGGCAGGTTTGGCTGCAGCTGTTTTTTTCTTTTTGGGCTACAAACCAACAGAAGAGTCACACAGTGGAGAGCTGAGCCTCAAACACCAAGAACAAAACACTAGAATTGTGTTCAGGCCAAAAAGAAGGAGAGAAACAACGACAAACAGGAAAGAAGCCAGAGACATGCAAAACATAATAGCATATTAAAAACACACACATCTTACACTCCTCATGTTGTCTATTAGAAAATGACTCACCTTCTCATCAGCGTCACTATCAGCATCAGACTCCGACTCGTCTGTAGCTTCCGTCTTTGCTCTCTTTTTAGGAGGACCCGTCTTCTTCGCTGGTGTTCTCTGTCTTTTCACCGGTTTCTTGGATGCAGCTTTCCCTCTGCTGGACTTTGATTTGGGAGACTGACATACAAAACAGTTTTAGACATTAAACCCGCAGATGTCTGTCTTCCTAACACACAGCGGCTTGGAAAGAAAAAGAATATCATTTTGTTTATAATAATAATAATCAACAAAGAAATCTTTCTTTCTGTTTCCTTTTTTCATGATTTCTGGCATTCTAACCGATACATTCAGCACGGTGAAGTATATTTCTAGAGTTGATGTGCAGAGTTTGAAAAAGTTTGCAGAGGCAGTAAACATGTAAACTGTTAAAATATCTATAGTATGCAAAGCTTCCCTTTTTTCCCCCCAGTGCTTCAAATACCCGTGGACACGTGGAAAAATGTTGAACATGTTGAGTCCAGGTTGTTTTTTTCTTTGTTTGATTTTTTTTAAACATTTTTGTATAATAGATGCAAAACAACCAAAGTGTGACACAAATTGACCACAAAAGAACACAAAACAACTAAATGCAATGCAACCCTATCTCAAAAAGTCACAACGGTGTGTCGGCTACAAACTCCCATTTTATCAAGTAAACAAACTAAAAAAAGGACTGAAAAATTGCTTCAGTGATTAATCAACAGGTGATAGTTGTTGTTTGTGCACTAACTAATCGATGAGGTATAAAGAGAGACGTATCAGGTTTATGTTTACCTCATCATCTTCATCTTCATCATCATCCTCATCTTCATCTTCTTCCTCCTCTCCATCTCCAGATTCCTCTGACTTGTCTGACTGCTCCTCCTCCTTCTCCGACGGTTTCTCCTCGGTGTCCGATCCCTCGGCCTCAGCAGAAGCTCCAGCTCTCTCATCTTCCTCATCATCATCCTCGTCGCTGCTGGAGTCCATGACGATGGCTTTGGACTTGCTGCCCGTTTTGGACTTCTTGGGGCTGGACGATGAGCTCTGAGCTTTGGGTTTGCTCTTCTTCTTGGTCTTGGCCTTCGAGTCGTCACCCGTCAGCTTCTTCTTTGATTTCTTCTTCTTCTTCTTCACGGGCAGGCACTGCAAAACAAAAGCAGGTGTTTCTACAAGTGGGCACACTGCGAGGTTTAGAATTTAACTTTCTTTAAAATGAATCCTAAAAACAATGACACGATCAATCTGGGATGAAGGAAAAATAAACTACGTTCTACTGAAATGACAATTCTGTGATGGTAAACAGCTGATTATTTAGAGCCACAGATCTGTCAGCTCACCTTCCCGCTGTTTTTTGGTACGGTGAGGAAAGTCAGGATTCTGTCCACCAGATCTGAGTGGGTCCCTTTCTTCTCCAGATCCAGAACGCTGCACATAACCTTCAGCTTGGTGTTGGTAAAATTTGAACTCCTGAATTAAAAGCAGAGAAGAAACAGTGTTTGTCAAAGACAACAGCCTTCTCTGAGATAAAGAGCTTGAACTGAAGGCAAAATTACGATTTAAAGAATTTTTAGACTCTGATCTTGTTGTTCAGCTGAAACAGAAGACATATTGACAAGTAAAATAACTGAGCATAAGCAATTCACAATCAGAATGTTCCAGCTCCAAAAGCAAATCTGTTTATGGAACAAGTAAGAATATTTAGTTTCAACGCCATCAGAAAAAAACCCAAAAAATTAAAGTGTAACAAAAGTTCAAATATCTTTAATTTGTGTTCAAAATCACCTTGAGCTTTCCTCTCCAACTTCACATGACAACTAAAAGTGCCTGAACAGTAACTTACTTGATCAGTTTATCTCGTTTTTTGATGTACTGTTCACTGTCGACATCAAAAGGAAATCCGTTGAACAGGCGCAGGTTCTTCTTTATCGTGGAAATCTGACGGGAGAACAAACAGTAATCAACAGGTTACGTCAACACTGTTCACAGCAGAGTTAGAATCCTGCTTGTACGCGTGTAATTTTGCGTTTTCGAGCTAACATTTGAAGCCATGAAGAACGGAGCTGAAGCAGGAGTCTTTGACGGTAGTTAAAGAGTATATTTTGGAATAAAATTTAACATATCAGACTGTGGATCAGCAACAAACAAAGAACACAGTAAAAACAGGTTAGTGTGGTTTTATTTTGTTATAAATTACTCTCTAATTTTCAGTTTCTTCGCTGACTTTTTAACTCCTGGTGAACATGTGAGTTTACTCTTAGAGTCTCTGGTTTCTTGAAAGAAGAAATAAGTATGAAAAACAGAGATTTCCTCAATAGAATTTATTAATATATTAAAAAAGCACGATGTTCATACCTTTCCCGGTCTGTCGAACATGATGGCGTGCAGAGGTTTCAGGTCAGCCGGCTTCATCTTGGTGATCTGGTAGCTGGTGCGAGGAATGTCTCCCAATTTATCTCCACTGCCTGAAAATAAACAAACCCACAGTTTTCATACACAAATCAGCACACATTAGATTTGTTCAATTTTTGAAGTAAACTAAACTAAACTCAGTAACTACAAAATGCAAAATAATATTGGTTAGTTTCTTAGATTGACTCAAAAATGCAAAGATGTCAGTGTGAATATTTTTGATTTCTCAGTTTTTATCATCTGATTTGATGTTTATTCGGATTTTTGATTAGCCGGAACACAAAAAATGTAAAACGAAGTAGAATAAACTAAACAGAAGTCAATTGCTGTAATAACAGGTGAACAATAAATGTGAATAAATGAACACTGAACATGAAAAAAATGATAGTTTGTTTCTCCAATCTTGAAAAAAAAAAAAGAAAAAGAAAGAAAAAGCCTAAATTTCATTGTGAATATGTAGATTCTTCTGGTTCTAATTTTTTTATTTATTTATTTTTTCAAATGCAACATTTTCGAGTTTTTTTTTTACATTTTTTTTTTTACTGTTGGTCATAAAAATAAAAGTAATTTTTTTTTTTTTTTTTTTACTGTTGGTCATAAAAATAAAAGCAGAGACATTTTTATCATACTAACATAAACATTTATCTACTACCATTTATTTACTGCAGCCTTACAGTTCTACAATGAAATAACACAATCTCGCCTCAAGTTTTTTGTGTTAGCTACTTGACAAACAGAAAGGACGGAGGCAATTTCACAAATCTGCTCCATATAAATATATTATTTACCATCTCCAATCTTGAGCTTCTCCCTTTGCTTTGGTGCCTGTAAGTCGAGTCTCTCCACGGTCTTCTTTGCCCGCTTTCCCTCGATAATTTCACCCACAGCTGCAGCGACACGGTGAAAATAAAAATCAAACAGCATTCCTGGGTTCTTCCAGACAACAACCACACAAAAAAATGATCAGCAGAAATCCTTTTCTTACATGCATCTGCAGTGTAAACGATGCTGCTTTTAAGTAACTGAAGATTGCAGCAGCTCAGGCTCCAGTGTTTCTGCTAACTACAGTCTGAACACGCCGTATGTTCAGGAATTATTTAATATCAAACGCAGGGTTTGTGAGTCAGAGCAGTTCTACCGGTCGAACCGCCACAGATGGATTCAGAAAACTGATTCCTATTACCGGATATTTTGGATCGGCTCTTGTTTGGGCTCGTCTGATCCTCCTTTGACGTCCCCCGCTGGTCCTCCACTTCTTCCTCGGACACCGCAGAGCTGTCCATCATTTCATCTGCCACGTCGCTCATATCTGCCCTGTAGCAGTCTGACGCAGTATCAGTTCAACCTGACAGGAGAGACACACAACACGTTTACAGCAGCGATGAAAACCAATATTAGTCAGTGACACGAACAGAAATAAAGTTCTACCAATCTCTGCTGTCATGTTAAAAATTCAGACAAGGCTGTAATCCAAAACCTTGTTTCAAGAGAGTTAAATAAGACATGCAAATATCAGATTTACCCAAAGCAGGTGATCTTATCTAATGGGAATGGGAAGGCAATGAGAACACAAGGTTACTTTCTTTATGCATTTAAAGATGTGTAACTGAAAAAACACTTCTGCAAACCAGAATATTATCAAACTGTGGGGCTGGTTACATGTACATCTTAGGTGAAAGCATCAATTTAGACTTACAATGTGAAATGAAACAAACTGTGAAGTGAAGCAAGGTGTGAAAGATTACTCTTGACCCTGGAAATTGTTTTATTTGGACAAAATACACCTTAACCAGAGGTTGTCAGAACCGACAAAATGAAGATGAAAGTTCAGGAAAAGCTTGCGTTAATAGAATTTTACCAAACTAATACTTCCTCAGATCATCTTTTGTACGTTGCTTGCACATTCTCAAAAAGAACTAAGCATCACAATCTTAACGAATTATTATTATTGTTATTATTATTATTATTATTAAGGACTGCAGCACAGAGCTGGGTTATCTTCAACAGGTGACTTTAGACAACTTGTATGTCAGAAACACTGTTCCTCTACCTGCATGTACTGCACTTTGTTGTGGATTAGTTCTGGGGAAACAGCAAACAGAATAACAGACGATTTAAGACAGATGCAGAATTGACACTAATAATTTGCCAAGTCTAAAAATCAAACATCATTCAGACATCTTTTACTTTGTAGGTGGTTTCTACTTTTAAAAACAGAAGAATTTTCAATAAAGTCTGGCAGCTTAACGCTTGACTGAATCTCCTCTTAAAATCGGCACTCTTTTAAAATAAACAAAAAATAAACAAATAAATAAAATTAAGAGGATTTTTAATTTCCCTTTACTTAATGTGTTTTAAACATAAGCAGAACTATAGTGCTGACGCTAATAACTCCAAAAGTCTAAAAATAAAGAATTGCTGAGCTGTTATTTATCAACTAGATACTTTTGTTCATAAAACAGAATTTTCAGCCTGGACAATCTACACCTAAGTACTAGAATTTTAAGAATTTTTTGTCAGATGAAAGACTGCAGGACTGAGCTGGGTCCTTCACACAGGTGACTTCAGACAAAGACTATGTGCCGACCTCAAACACTGTGTCGCCACCTGCATGTATAGTTCATTGTGCTGGATTAGCGCGGAGGAAACAGATAAACAAACAGATTATTCAAATTTCACTTTACTAAATGTTTTTAAGTCATATGCAGAATTGTAGTATTGACATTAATAATTTCTTAAGACTAAAAATGAGGCATTGTTATCCCTTGTTTTACGAAGTAGAGGCTTTTGTCCGTAAAAACAACTGAATTTTAAACGGAGTGTGGCAGCTCGGACAGCACAACCAGCTTTACGTTGAATTACCTGTTAAATCAAGCCTTATCTACTGTCAGCAGAAGAAGCACCAGTCTCGGAATGTTTTCAGTAGCACACGAAGGTTTTAGGTTTTTATTTTTTTCTGTTTTGGATCCTTGTCTCGCCACAATAAAACGTGCAAGCGGATTGGCGCGCTGCAGCTTTAAGCTTTCAAACCTGTTAGCGCGTCAAGTTAGCCCGCTAACAGTCTGAGCCACAAACTGCAGCTTCCCCTCTCCCCGTTCTGCCTTTCACGTGTCCTCGGGTCGGTTAGCTGCTGTTAACTAGTTTGCAGCTGAGTTTAAAATAATAAACCAGACGATAATTGATGGAGAGCTCTGCGCGCAGCTAGCCGTCGCCTGCTAACACGGACGTTAGCTAAAATAATGTTGATCTGCGCGTTCATTAGAGAGAAACAGCGACACGGAGCGTTTCTGACCCACAACAGAATCCGCTCAGAGGGCATCGAACTGCCGCAGTCTCGCCGCCGGACGCCGGTGAACCAGATAGCAGAAGTTTACCTGGTTTCAGTGATGAAGCTCCGTGCTGCGTCTCAGCTGTCAGCTTCTGTTTTTCATTTCATGATGGCGGTTTCTCGAGGGGGCGGAGCCAAACGCGGCGGCTACTTTTGCGATTGGACCGGAGCCAATGACGTAAGACTCTTCGCGTTGTTACTGGCAGACAGAACGGCGTTCTTGTCGCATTACCGCCCCCTGCCGGCGCTGCTGCCACACAGCACAGGACAAAAAAAAAACAAAACACAGCAAACATGCACATAAACACAACACATAGGTCCAAAACTGACAAGCTTCTGCGGTTCACAGCTCGTTTTAGAGCCATGCTCGTACAGCCAGCCTGATTATAAATCACAAGTGGACTCAGTTTAGATTCACAGCTGGATTCACTTTGGTTGCAGTGAGTTTTTCTTTTCGGCCCGAATTTTTAATACAGTCTTTCTAAAGTATTTCTTTTTGATTGTTCTCAAAGAAAGAAAGAAATGAATAATGCAGTTACTGAGAGTTTTTTTCATTCTGATGCATTACCTACAAGCTCTAATAGTGTTTGTTTAATTTTTAAGTTTCAATCTAATTCCTAAAAAAAAAAAAAAATACAATTGATTTTTAAGGTGCTTATCATTTTAAATAATTCCCATGAGATTAAACGTGAACTAAGACTCAACATTCTATCATTAACACTCAGAGGATGTTTTCAGAACCACAGACCATCATAACAAAAAGATGAATGTTCTCAAACCAAAACCCAAAAATGTTTTCAAAATGTTTTTCCTAAAACATTCCAGTAACAATTTCAGTGTGACATTTTGAGGACGTCTTTAGTTGTCTCGCTTTTAAACAGAGCATTCTATTCGATAATAAATAACAAATAAGACAAAAAAATAATATAGCTGAGTAGGTCCTTTGGTTTTCCTTTCAAATAATTTCTCTTCACACATCTGTTGATTTGTTATATCAAAAGCAGTGACAGGTTTATTAACACAAACATTGAGACAATCTGAGGATTAAAAATCACATCAGTAACATTCAGACTGAGTATAAAGTCAGAAGTTAGTATCAAAACGTCACAGTTTTATTTAGGAAATGAACAAATGTATATAAGAAGTAATTTCTAAAACCAAAATAACTCCTGGATTATATTAAAGAACATTATATAGGTTAAAAAAAACAAAAAAACAAAAACGTTATTCTTGTATCAAGCAGTAATTTTATGTAAACGTTGCAGTTGCTTCTCTTTAAAATGCAGTAAAATGTTGCTGCTTTTCTGTGAATTCATGAATCTGGATTGAGCCTGTTACAGTAGTGTATGGGGGACCAAACCTGACTTAATGAAAACAAACCAATCAATTTAGAATTGTATTTAATTTATTTTTGTATATGTTTGATACATGGATTTTTAAAATGCAATTGTGTACTTACTTCTTGTGCACTTAAATTGTTTTATCTTATATTCTGGAGAAGTTTTTTTGTTAATATATTTCTTTTGTTTGTAAACAACTTGCACATTTATTTGAGAGTTAAAATTTTATAGATTTTCACATTTTTAATTCTATTAAATCCATTGTCTATGAGTTAAATCAGTCCAGATAGATTAATTCACTTATTTTATTTTTCAAATTGGTCTTGTTTGGTCTTTTAAACTTAGAAAAATGGACTATAACTTAAATGATTATTGCATTTTTCCCCCAATTAAAAAATATTATAGCTATTTCTTAATATATCTATCATGCATTTATGGCTTTAAATTGTAATTTATAGTGGCTCCCTTATAAGTTTTCTTTTTTCTTTTTTTTACCTTTTGTGAATCTTTAGTAAGTTTACGAAAATGTACTTTACAATGTTTAAATTTTACTGATTTAATTTCTGAACTGAACCCTTTTGCTTTGTAAACTGATTTATGGCACATAATTTTATTTACGTATTTCTCAGTGTATTTGATGATTGCAGTTCGATTCGTTTTTGGGGTTATTTTTTTTGTTTTTGTTTATTTATTTATTTCATTAAGTCATCTTTGGTCCTCCATACAATCAGTCTTCAGCTGGTTTAAAAACAAACTTCAGGTTTTAACTCGACTGAAACCCAAACGACCTTTGAATCGACTGATCACCATTAAAACTTCATTTCTTGTTTCGGTGTGTCCTGCTGCGTGACTGTGGTCCTGCAGCGCCCCCCTGTGGTCGAACAGGTGTGGTGTTTCCAGGCTCAGGTGTGGAGGTGGTTTGGTTGCTGGTCTCACTGCAGCAGGCAGGTGCACTTGGTGCTCCTCTCTTTGTGCGTGGCATTGAAGGTGTCGATGGCCTGCTTGTTGATCAGCTTCCAGAAATTGTCGAAAGTAATGTTGTCTCCGCTGTGAACGTCCATCTGCTGCAGGACCTGACCCAGGCCTTCTTCATTCTCCACCGTCTGCAGAGATGACAAATTGTCAGTCAGTCAAACACTCCACCAACAGCTCAGCTCCAGAATAACAATAAGGAGGGACCTTTGTTTCTAATAATATGGAGGATTTTTCCCTTTGTCTTATTGTCATTTGAGGCGTCACCTACTGCAGGAACTGTGACTTTAGTGGCACAACAATCCTCGACTCAGGAATGTTGCAAGTTTGAGCTTTACTCTGCATGTTTGTTTAATCGGTCATATGGCCCATTTCACACACATCGAAAACAACTCAAGGTGCTTCACAGATGACTGATGAATACGCTGGATGCCACATACTAGACTGAAAAAGACAAGTAAAACACAGAAAATACACCAACATATCTGGTTTTCAGGTATATTTTCTTTATGTAGTTGCTTCCAGAAGCATTTACTTATCGTAACTCATGTCTTAATTTTAACTCTGAGCAACTTTCTAGGCCTTTTCTTTACTTCTGTCACATTTTTCGTCACTGTGGGATCATTGTTCAGTACAATATAAAGTGCAGGAAGTCTGGTGTTGACTGCACATTGCTTAGTAACTGAGTGTAGTGTGTTGTGATTGGAGGACGAGCTGTGATGTCATCAGTACCTTGGCAAGTGCAGGCATCTGTTTGGAGATCAGGGTCTGGAACTGGGTGGTGTTCATGGTTGGCCCATTGCCCGCCGCTTTGTGAAACTCGGTGACCATTGTGTTGAGGGCCAGCTCCAGATCTGAGTACTGAAACAGCAACACATCCGGGAATTATTATCAATAATCAATAATCAGGGAAATGCTGACATAGCAGAGGAGGAGCAAACTGTGATTTTACCACACAGTCCGTGACGGTTTTACACTTCATCAGTTCATAGCCCGCTTCAAGTCGCTCTGACAGTCATTCATTTCAGCTTTTTTATGTCTTAACACTGAAAACACAATTAACTTCATTTGCATGAGTATTTTTCTCCCAGAAATAACTCAGCTGGCATGAAATGTCCCCACTGCATTGGCTAACAGTACCCATAAGTTCTACTCATGTTTTTAAAGAAACTGTTTCAAGCAAATGTTAATAGAACGTTTAAAGAATATTTTCATTTCCATTAATGTTCTAATGAATTGAATATAATGGTCAAACTTCAATATTTAGAGGATGTTGTCAGGAACACAACTAGAATCTTTTGCTTTCTTTTCTTGTTTTAGTTTCCAGAATGTTCTTTTTAAATGCAGGATTACGAAAGATAAAGATCTAAAGATGTAAAATGTTTGGTGATAACATTGTTGGACTGTTTTGCCCTAACATTGTCTAAACCGAATGTTAGGGTGAGAACATTCCTGCTTTGTTGTCATTTAATTTTGTTGAACATTGTGGGAATGTTCCCTCAACAACATCCCTTAAACATCCTCAGAACATTCCAGGAACAATGTCCAACCTTTGGATTTATACATATGTATATATCACATTACAGGAACATCGTGTAAAAAAAAAAAAAAATCTTCAGCAGCCTTGATATCATCTGGAAAATATTTTT